TGTGTGTGTGTGTGTGTGTGTGTGTGTGCTAGGACGAGGACTCGTGTGTCTCAAGATCTCAAGATCAAAGCGTGCCAGAAAACACCTGTGGCATCACAAAACTGCTCTGTTTTGTCTCTATGTTTTTCTCTCTATGTTATTGTCTCAACCAACTGTACAGGCGCCTGTGGGGTAGAGTTTAGGAGCTTCGCTGTAGCACGCACATAGATAGGTAACCCGAGTTCGATTCCCGAGTGGGGAGACATAATAATATCATAATTTTTCATCGAGTATCTCGGTCTCTCGACTGAGGTGCTGTATTTCTCCCAGCTCTGGCAGGCAGGGCTGGAAGCCGTCTCCGAAATTATCTAAATGGTATCAGTGGTAGCGTAAAAACACCTACATTAAAAAAAAAGTCTAAACTGAGTCTCCAATGCCGTTGTAAGTGCTAGTCCCACAAAAAATGAGATTTTTTATTTAAGTACTCGCCGTGTGTGGTTGGCGGGTGCTCTGTGTGGTTTGCTCTTTCTTTCCTATCAAACAACTATCGTCTTTATCTCTCCCTCTTTTTAGGTTTGTTTTACTCTCTTGTAATCTTCGGCACTTATATAACTAAAAAACGAAGTATTCGCCATCCCCAGGCACCAACAGGACACCAGGCTGGGTAGACTTTCCATTTTCAACATGCAAAATACATTAACATTCTGTAAGTGTAAAGCCAACATATAATTATCGTGTTATTGTCTTGCACAACCACTCATGTAGCATACCAATTTAAAGGTAAATTCATTTCTTCATCACCTGAAGCATTAATATTTATTTCAGCTAGGTTAAGAGGCACCCGAGATATGGTCACGCAAAATATTGACCTTTAAAGAATCGGCCTTGACAAAATTGTGCGAAATCAAAGAGACGTAAAAGTGTGTTGGCACGTATATTGTTGAGGTGCATCGACATTCGTGGTCAACTTTGGAGTAGTGGATATTATGTAGGCCTATTGAATATCAAATGGAAATAAAATATTATTGTCTCTGCAAAGAACAGGATCTTTTTTATGATATTTCCAAACAATTTGGAAAACAGAGCAGTTACAAATACCACGCAAAACCAGGATTTTACATGTGTATAATTTTGTTTTTGTTTATGAGCTATTGGCTTCGTGTAGACCGCGGAACCTTTTCTGGACATACACTGCGTAATATTAATGAGCGCATTTAATTAAATGTTAAGTCCAAGTTTTGCGTGGTCTTTGTGATTGCTCTGTTTTCCGTTTTGGTGGAAATTATCGCAATAAAATATTGTTTATTGCACACACACACA